TAAACATTTGTAAATTTGTCAATTTTCAACAGGTAAATTAATACCAGACGTAATGTAAAGGTCCCCTTGCTGGTGCTAGTAGCGATTTTACACTCAGTTAACTTCTAAGCTATTCGAATTTGCAACCAATATTTTGGTGAAGAGTCTACACTGAAATACCAAAATGTCTCAAATGTCTCTTTTTAATTTCTAACGACAAACAATTTTTTTTGTCCGACCAGACTGGCTCTTTGTCAGGTCAAAACTTGTCTTTGTCCTGCAAATGACCTGCCTATAGACAAAAATTATTTGCAGGCTTGATATTATATTCCTGGTAGAACTCTATCCCAATGAGAATATATTTTACCCTATCGCAGGAGGAGTTTTTTGCCCTGAGAATATTCTATCCCAAAGAAAATACATTGTATCCCAAGGAGAATACATTGTATCCTAAGGAGAAAAGGAATTAGCACATTATCACAGGGAATACATTGTATCTCAAGGAGAATAGATTGTGTCCCAAGGAGAATAGATTGTATCCCAAGGAGAATATATTGTATCCCAAGTAGAAATATACATTGTATCCCAAGTAGAAATATATATTGTATCCCAAGGAGAATACATTGTATCCCAAGTAGAAATATACATTGTATCCCAAGGAGAATGCATTGTATCCCAAGTAGAAATATACATTGTATCCCAAGGAGAATGCATTGTATCCCAAGTAGAAATATACATTGTATCCCAAGGAGGATACATTGTATCCCAAGTAGAAATATACATTGTATCCTAAGGAGAATACATTGTATTCCAAGTAGAAATATACATTGTATCCTAAGGAGAATACATTGTATCCCAAGTAGAAATATACATTGTATCCTAAGGAGAATACATTGTATCCCAAGTAGAAATATACATTGTATCCTAAGGAGAATACATTGTATCCCAAGTAGAATATGTTGTACCAAGGAGAATACATTGTATATCCAGGGGAATGATTCAAGTTCAAGTTCATTTTGTTTACACTTATTGCAAATGCTGTAAAAAAATGTCTTTAAGAACGAAATTAGATTAAACTAGAAAAAAAGTGTTTAGTGGCCAAAGGAGCAACGCTTTCAAGTTGACAACTATCACAATAAACATGTTGAGGAGGATAATGCAATATGCATCCCAAGCTAAATTGAATCACAAAGGAAATTATAGTATTTTAAATGTGTGCAAAATGCATATCCCCTATACAATATTTGAATTAGTATCAATCATATTTAACTAATTAATAATGTTGTTGTAATTAATATAAATTTTGTGTTGTGTTAGATGAAGATGTTAATGAGTGTGGCTGTATTGAAGATGACAAGCCCATTGAAGAGCTCAGGAGAGAGCCTTACACTCTCCCCCAGGGGTTTGTGTGGGATACCCTGGATATCAGTGATGAAAAAGTGGTTTGTACAGCTCTGTTTTTACTTATTTCTATGTTTATAATGTGGTAAAGATCATAGTTACGTCAATACACTCCTGAGAAACCACTGTCTGTAGGTAATTGCGCTATCAGGTATTTTAGGCACCATTTCCTCTAGGCATGTCTCATAGAGAGAACTGGCTATCCAACTTCGTTCCCAGGGAGGTTAAGTGGAGTGTCAATCACAATCTGAGAACTTCAAAGCTAAGAGAAACTTGACCTTGACGCTTCAACTGGTACTCATTATTTTAACTTGAGGTTTATATTTTAATGCAAAACTTGGATTCGAAACAACAACTTGAACCCATGAAATGGTCAGACTCTGGATCTCACAGGTGTTTAAGAACATTAAGAAAACAACCCTAAGAAAATATGCGCGCTGATTGGTGAAAAATTCAGTAACTCAATAGGAACACAGAACGAGCATGAGCTGGTGACGTAATGATGGCATAAGCAGTTCTCTTTGTTCCTATCAAGTTATAGAAACACTTGTGGAAGTTTGGGAGAGCTTGAAAAAGCTGTGGAAACATTTACCTGCCGGTTTGTGTTCCCACAACATTTCTTGGTCTCCCAAACTTCCACTGGTGTTTCTATGACTCGATGGAAACACGATACATATTTTCTATTTCTTAAGTGTTTAATTTATTTGTTTAAATTTTTTTATATATTTGTTTTTGTTGCAGTTAAAGGAGCTTTATACGTTACTGAATGAAAACTATGTGGAAGATGATGACAATATGTTTAGATTTGATTATTCCCCGGAATTTCTTTTGTGGTGAGTGCTGAATGTCGCAATTTCTTTTGGTTATTAATAATTATGAATCAAAATATATTGCCATGAGTAAATTGTGAATGCTTTAAAAGTGCAAAGCTAGGGATATAGACCATGTGCATATTATGACATTGTAAATTTTGAGGCTTTGTCTACATGCACAATTAACAATTATTCCACAAGTGTGCATTGGATATAAGAAGATAGATACATGTACATACTTCTTACTAACCAAGTTCGAGGTCCATACTGTAAGTTAGGGACCAAGGTTTTTCCTCTTCAATTAATGGCCCAAGCGCAAGGTACAGGAGAGTACATGTATGGCCCGCTAAATTGACCAATCACAGCGTGCATACTAACTGGGAGATATAATAATAGAAAATGATGTGCATAGTCTCAGGCTGGCTATAATCATCTGATATTCAACAAGTGTGAATGGAATATTTATTGTCGTATAAAAAATATCCCCAAACTATAGAAAAATCAAAATCAAAATACCCCAAAAATTATACAATCATATATTTAGGTTAAAACCATATTTTAGAGCATGGTGTACATGTACAGTAGTTGCACATGAATATACCATGATGACTAAGCCAATGAAATCTCTTGAATTGCATTTATCCAGTTTTTAACATTTTTCCATTATCTTGATTAAGCTTCTTGGGTAATTATTTCAAATTCATAAACATTTTCACAACCCATGTTTCCCTTGTCTCCATGATTTTCTAAATTAAAATGAGTTTCTCTTGTGCTATTCATTTACATTCAATTACTGTAATTCCCTTTTTATGAGGGAGAGGGGGTGGATTTATTTAACTGTGATAATTTTGTGGCGGCACCTATTCAACCTGACATGCTTGGTGGAATTAAAGGGCAGTTATTAATTAATTTACAGAAATTAGCACCCCTCAGTTACATGATACTGTTTGTTCAGTTAAGGATACTCAACTCTTTTAACAAGTTTGACTTTCAATGATTTTTATTCTTGACAATGATGTTGGATACATCAAAATGTCAAATTACGTTACTCCTTATATTTCTTGTTAAACGCTTTAACAAGCAACTGCTGACCATTCGATCACTTAGTGTTATGTACATGTTAATAATTGATAATTTATAAAATGCCATACATAATATATTTATTTATATATTTTAATACATCTGAATGCTTTGTTACACCTTGCAGGGCTCTGAAGCCTCCTGGCTGGAAGCTTCAGTGGCACTGTGGTGTACGTGTGGCAAGTAACAAGAAGCTTGTGGGTTTCATAAGCGCTATCCCAGCACACATCAGGGTCTATGATCAGTGAGTATGGGATTGGAAAATGTGTTATGTTTAGGACTGTTATAAAACCAAAAAATTACATAGTACCATTAAGATGCTAATGTAAGTATTTAAGGATGCACACTTACTCATGTGGTGAAAAACTCTCAGGGTTGATTAAAACTGTATTGATGGTACATTGTTCTGGCTTTTATTGAAAATTCTCCTTCGCAATTTCCATATTATATTTTATTGCCAAATGAGGCTTAATGCACCAATGAATCTACACAGCAAAATAGAGCATTGTTAAGTATTTTGGAGAAGAAGTACATGTACATGTATTGGATTATAACGATGGAAGTTTATTTCAATTCATCAAATTAGACGGCCAAGAAGTCTGCAACTGCCAATTTTGATGTTTGGAATCTCTTTCTTAATATTCATCTTAATTTGGCAGGTTTTATTACTTTGGTTTATTTTTTCTCTGTCAAATTGTCCCTTTATTTTTAAATAGTGCTTACTCTAGGTTGTGTTTTCATCGTACAAAATTTTTGGAACTTTGGGTGAACTGACAGTTCTGTTCCACAATCAATCTATTCTGAGCAACAAGAAATAATTTTGTGTCGTAAAAAAGCCTTGAATGTCCTTCAATTTTGTTGTTCTAAATCTGTACTTGTAAACCATGGTTACTGGTAATCAGAGAGTGTTGTAGTCTTGTAGAAGATCTCAAGTGTGTCTGACTAATGCAACCCATTTGGTTACAAATTTGCACTCTCTCTCCCTCTGTCAAGGACTGTCCTGATGGTTGAAATTAACTTCCTTTGTGTTCACAAGAAACTTCGATCAAAAAGGGTAGCCCCTGTATTGATACGAGAGATCACAAGGAGGGTGAACTTGGAAGGAATCTTCCAGGCTGTTTACACTGCTGGCGTAGTGCTGCCCAAACCTGTGGCTTGTTGCCGGTGAGTACAACATTCTGAACTCCACATTAAATGATTACTTAATCTAATTACCTAAATTACATTGTATTGCACTGCATGATGCAAAGAACTACACATCACTATGCTCTTACTAATAAATGCTGGCAATGTGACTCCACCTGTAACAGGGATACAGCTAAGGGCGGGCTGCTGGCTAACTTCACCTGCCTGGGCTGAAGAAAACTGATTGAAGTTGCTCATGACGGTTTTTAGAATTTTTTTCCTTGGGTAAACTTTGAAGCTGCCAAGGCCAGAAAAGCCAGCTGGGCTAGTTAATGAGCTGGCTTACATATAAGTAGTGCTTTTTTAGCTACATCCCTGTAGTAAAATGGTGTTGAACATGCAATTGGCTTTTCACCTCCTGATTGGCTGTATTCTTCAGTGCATGTTATAAATTTTCATTTTGAAGCTGCCACATCATTTTGAAATATTCTTGCAGCCTCCTGAGCTTTCAAAAATCAGCCGCAAAAATCTTACGTCCGACAGTCTTTTGTGCTGTGTTCAATTCATTGTCAAAAATACGGTAGCATCTACAGTTACCGGTATGTCTTACATTCTACATACATGTACATAATGTACATGTTATGTAATTCTTTTGGTTTTTTTTTTTAGGTACTGGCATCGGTCTCTTAACCCAAAGAAACTNTTTTTAGGAGGGAGGAAAACTGGAGAACCCAGTAAAAAACCCTCCGAACAAGCCAAGAACCAACATCAAAATCGACCCACATATGACACTGGGCTGGAATCAAGCCTGGGCCACATTGGTGGGAGGCAAGCCCTCCACTACTGCCCCATCCCTGCTCCAAATGTTGGAAAACCTGAGGACAATGGTAGCCTTATAAACCCTTAGCCCATAAAGTAATCAGTTGGTGGTACAGGACGTTACAGTGTGTCCTCTAAATCAGGAATTACAGAGGTTCATAAGTTATCTGAGTTACATCCATCACAATGGAAACAAGCTGAATATGTGATCTGGTGGTTTCTGTTTGGGTTGACATCCTGTTGTGGGAACTTTGAAATTCTTTATTTTCTCAGCTTAGTTGTTGCCAAGTGGCTAAGAGTGATGAAGTAAATTTAATGTTTGATTATTTCACAGGCCACAAAGACTCAGCGCATTTTTGTACTCACAGCTGAGGATATGTCTTCTGCCTTTCAAAAGACAACAGAGGTAATGATTGTCTTAAGAACAACTTTTGATCAAACTGTATTTCTAAAAATTTTAGATATTAATTGATGTATACAGTGTAAATTGGTTCATTAACAAATTAAAGTGGGCATTTTATTCATCTGAGCTATTGGCAGTAGATGGCATCACAAATTGTCGAGGTCACCTTTTTCTGTTGCCCATTGAATAGATTAATGACAATTGCAATTTACTTCTGAGATCTGAGCATGCAGGGCCTTCATAAAAAGTTCAGGCACATTATAAAGCTTCGTCTTTCCTCCAACTTACTCATGATGTAGACGTTAATGATGAACGGTTTTTTCTGTCACAGTTGTTGTAAAATTAATTATTTCTTTTCTTTTCTCTTTCATTTTATGCTGAGTAGTATTTGAAGAAGTTCAGCTTGGCACCGGAGTTCTCTGAGGTAATGACTCCATGACATCCTAAACAAATATTTTGTCGGTGAACCCGAGATTTATAGCAGAACATCAGCCTTGTCCTTGCATGATCTCTTTTTCTTGCTTGTAAAGTCCGTGACTGATTCCTCAATTCCTTTTATCACAATTGAGAGTGACTGAGATTTTTGCTTCCCTTGCAGGAGGAATTTAAACATTGGTTCACGCCACGCGAAGGCATTGTGGACTCTTTTGTTATCAAGGTACGTTTTGTTTCGAAGGCACCTTCTTGAGCCAAGCGTGCTAGTAAATAAGTGGAAATGACACGGAAATGAGGCACCTGGGCACTCAATCTCGTTTCCAAGGTTTCTCTTCCCAGGAAGAAGATAGACCCTGGGAACAAGGTTGCTATAGGCACTTACAAATTTGCGTGTGGGTTGTCAAGTGGTCTCACTGTATTTAACAAAACATAAAGTGTGCAGTGATATATTTAACCGTAAAGATGAGTTATCTGTTATTTAGGCGCATTTTTTTCAGAGTTCTTCAAGTCACCAGTACTTTGAATTAGCAAGTTGGTTATATTTTCAATTGGTGAATGCAGTTGAATTGAAGGGTTAGAGTTTATACAGTGAGCTATGATACAGTTACTCTCCTTTTCACATTCACTTTTTTCTTCTTTTTTTTTTTTCCGTGGGAGAGGGAATGCTTTTATTAAGCTGAAATGTGCACCATATTTGGACCAATCTGACTTACCAAAATAACAATAATCTGAAAATGTACACATAATTAATTATTATCGAAAATTTTTTATGTATCATAATTAGCAATTATTCCATGAGCATGCGTTGGATATGAGCTGGTAGATAGCCAAAGAGGCGTGTAGCGCTGAGTTGAATATAATCATATCATAAAACGCTCTTAAAATAGGGAAAACTAAAATAAAATAGAAATGAGAACGCAGTCACGCGTACACTTACCATATTCGTAGAGCATGGTATGATGGCACATAACCCATGATGGCTAAGCCAATGAAAACTCTTGAATTGCATTATCCAATGATCCAGTTTTTAATAATTTCTATTTTTCAATCATCTTTACAAAGATACTTGATAGTTTGGGTGCAACCAATTATGTATATTTAGTATAAATCTACTAGCATTCTATCACGAATGCCATTATTTTACTGGCTTAATGCTACTCGCTATCTATTCTGTGACAGATTGCGAGTAGCCTAGCAGTGTGCGTTTGGTAACAAACTGACGGCCGCTTCTTTTCATTTTCGAAGTGTCTGTGAAGAGGGTTTAGATAAAGTTTTGAACGACTAGTAGATTTATACTTAAAAAGATTATTCGTTCTCGATTTCTATGCGTGATAGTTGACTCGGGCTATGCCCTCGTTAACTATCAGGTGATAGTTAAATGGACAATTGTTAAATGGACATTTTGTGTTCACAGGACGAGGAAGGCCAAGTCACTGACATGATCAGTTTCTACACATTGCCATCAACAGTGATGCACCATCCCGTACACAAACAGCTCAAGGCAGCTTACTCATTTTACAATGTCTGTCACAAGACTCCGCTCATTGATCTCATGCAGGATGCTTTGATTTTGGCAAAACAGGTGAGCAGTAGGCCAACAGGCTGCTGTTTGTTGCTACCCTTTGTGGGCGGTAGCCTGCGAACAGGCTCCTGGCAAGGACGGAAAAAAGCAATTGGCGAGTGCGAAACAGATGAATGAGCGAAGCGATCGGGGCGGGACAGGGCTCACCCGGGAGCCTGTTTGAAGACTATGTGGGTGGTGGACTGAGGAACTGTGTCAGGCGTGGATTTTAGCCAAGTTTAGACATTGCAAGAAAATGGCCAACAAACTGAGTGAAATATAAAAGAACCATAACAAATGCAAAAGAAGGTACAGATGGCCAAAAATGGGAGAAGATTAAAACGGATGGCAATGTGGGTTGTTAAAAAAAGTGTTTGGCTGAACAGTGTCGAAAGTTAATCTCGCTTGTTTGTCGGCTTTAATTACAACGCCTGTGAGACATATTTGTTTGTAATGAAGATATGGTTTTGTCATTTAGATCCACAGAGGTCATTTCTTCTCGAGTATTTGGCAAAACTTAATAAAATATGCTAACTCAGCCGTGACACAGTCACTTTAAGGGTAGGACAGTGGATTGTAGCAAGTGCCAAGACCTTTCAAATTAAACCCTCCGCAGCTTTTTGTGTGCTACTGTTTACAATGTATTATGCTGGACAATGTGGTTCTATGTTATAAGTCTTTGAATGAAACCTTGTTGTGTCACCATTCAGATCAAATCTATTGAGCATTACAGGGTTGTGGTTTGACTTGCAGCGTGGCTTTGATGTGTTCAATGCCTTGGATCTGATGGAAAATAAAGAATTCTTAGAAAAGTTGAAGTTCGGCATCGGCGATGGAAATCTGCAGTACTACCTGTACAACTGGAAGTGTCCGTTCATGGAACCTGCAAAAGTGAGTCAAATAGCACTGGAGTCTATTCTGCACGCCTGTAATGCACGGCAATGTGCGAGTCTCCAACGAGAGTTTTTGAGCTTTTAATTTGTGGGGTGGGATAGGCCGGAAGAAATCTGAGATTAAAGGGGGCGGAAACTCTACGGATTGTGGGGAATTCGAGAAGCAGAGAAAGATAATAATACCGAAAAAGCACCTGAAGGACGGACTTGCCAAGGAAAAAGCAATAACCGGAGTAAGGGGTATGGGAAGCGGGAAGTTAAGATCTCCCTGCCCCCCCTCCAACCCCCCCTAGATCTCCATGTACCCCTCCCTCCTTGACTCCCCTAACTAAATGCCCCTTGCAACATGTCCTTAGCTTTAAATACTTGTTCTAGTTTGTTTTTGTTTTTGTTTTTGTTTTTGTTTTTGTTTTTGTTTTTGTTTTT